CACACACACACACACACACACACACACACACACATTAAACACACACACAGAAACCACGGACCAAAATCAATATACGTGAAGTTCAAAATATCTGTTTGTAGACCCCGAATAAAAACTAATTCATTATAAAGGCAACAGCTGCCTTCACGAACAACCTCCAGACCCAACATAACCAATCAGCCAAAACGCATGACTGGCTCATCATAGTTTCCTTGTTTGGGTTTTTTTTTTTTACATCACCTCATTAGCAAAAGTAAACCTAGAAAAAAAAAAAACATAAATGAATTACTGAGAGCAAAAAATGGTCTTTGTTCATTTACCCACCAGTCAGTGGTCAGCGAGTAAAACAAATTATGTCCAATGTTTTTTTTTGTACGTATAAGTGAAATTCAATGTCAAAGCAAAGCAGTGACCCATTTTGAAAAGTGATAATTGACGAAGTCTTACACTGAGCTGTTAGTGGGTGGTTGGCGGGTGCTCTGGTGTGGTCTGCTTCTTCTTTCCTATCAGACAACTATCGTCCTTATCTCCCCTTCTTCATTTTTAATGTTTGTTACTCTCTTTTAACACCTCTAATCTTCTGGTGCTCATACGACCTTATGCAGCTGCGAGCGCCGTAAAACCTCTACTAAACTAAACACTGAGCTGTTAAGACGCACAGCAGCATCTCTTTGCCCTCTCAGCAATACCCATACTTTAAGAACCACAACAAAAAAAAGGCCTGGTTAAAATAAACCAGAGGCCAGATGTCACAAGTTTGCACTTGCAAGTCCACCTTCCTGACCCGACCAGATCCTTCCAACATGTCTAATTGAATAAGTGGAAAATTCTTCTAATAAAAGTCCACCAATTTCTATTTTACTTTACTTTTCCAGTCCAGTGGTCATCTGAGTTCTAGCCCTTCAGCCTGTCCGTATGGCAAAGAATTTACAGGTTTTTATCAGCTGTGTTTTGTCGCTGTATAGTGTATTTCTGAAATCTGGGAAAGCAGGTAGGTGGCCACTTCACTATGCAGATCACTAAGTGCATGGCAGGTAAAGAGGTGGTGTCCTACCACCTTCTACCGTCTGAGTGTTTGCACTGACACATTAGCACGTCTCTGCAGTGTTAAAACAAAATGATCCTAATTCTAAGTGTATAAGTGAGTGGTTGGCAGGTGCTCTGGTGTAGTTTGCTTCTTCTTTCCTATCAAACATCTATCGTCCTTATCTCCCCTTCTTCTTTTTTATGTTTGTTACTCTCCTGTAACATCTCTAATCTTCTGGTGCTCATATGATCTTATGCAGTTGCGAGCGCCGTAAAACCTCTACTAAAATTAATCTAAGTGTATAAAGACTTGATTAAGATTATAAGAAAAGGGAGAAAAAACTATAAAAGGCCACAGTGAACTTACATCCATAGACATTTTCTGCATGTAAGAAGCACTGGTGTGCTTTGGACTCTGAAGTCCAGAACTGCCGGCCAGGTTCTCACCCCAAGAATAGCGTTCAGCATCTGGATACAAGTAGAAAAGAAAAAAACCATCAAAACATGGCACCAACAGTATGATTCATCAATAGTCTGATATTATAACACTAATATCACTTGGTGGCATTGGTGGCCTAGTAGTTAGGCTCTCAGACTCGCAACCATAAGGTCGTGGATTCGAATCACGTCAGGGACCCGACGTTGTGTCCTTGGGAAAGGCACTTTACACAAATTTTCTCACTTCACCCAGGTGGGAATGGGTACCCGACTATAGACGGCGAAAGATCTTGTCAGTTTGTTAGTGTTTGAGCCCTTAATCAGCTCCTTGCACTGTATACTTCCCGAGAAGCTGAGAATGTTTTGGAGTGTTCTATGGTCTGCTGGGGTAATAATATTGTGTAAAGTGCATAGAGCCTGCTGTTGAGCGGGGAAATGCGCTATACAAATGCTATTTATTATTTGGTGACAAAGAGTGGAGGGGAGGGAAAGGGAGGGGGAGGGGGAGGGAAAGGGGGTTATGGTAGTTTTAACACTTTTTTTTTTTTGGACCCTGCCCAATTCTATCATCCGGCGCTTTTGTGTTTAGTAATAACAACAAACTGTGCTGTATTTTTTTTTAAATAGCTCGCAACTGCATAAGGTCATACGAGCGCCAGAAGATTAGAGGTGTTACAAGGGAGTAACAAACATAAAAAAGAAGAAGGGGAGATAAGGACGATAGATGTTTGACAGGAAAGAAGAAGACCACACCAGAGTACCCGCCAACCACCCGCAGTGCTGTATTTTGGGTTTTGAAATTAGCTGTTAGTCTTAGAGTAAACACAAAGGAAAATGTTTTACATATAAATAAAAACATTAATAAATAAGTAAATACATATGTTTCTTCACTGTTATAACGTTTTTTGGTAGCTTTAACACTTGTTTCACCAAAGCTAACTGGGTGATTCGAGTGATAGAAAGCACAATGTTCCAGTGTTCTGATTTCATTCAGCAACAGAATCCATGGCAGTCCCACAGAGGCCACCAGAACTCCCTGAGTAAAAAAAACTGTGCCTGGAAAAAGGGCAGTGACATCTGCATCATTAATTCCCTTTTTTTTAAATCAGAAAACAATGAAACCTAAAAAAATCAACACACAAAGGGCAAAATTTAGCAAGGTCAATGATAGTATATTTTCTCCCAGAAAGCAATAAAATACCATTAACAAGACATTATTTGCTTGTTTTAGTCAATAAAAGTGACATAATTCCTACCTTCTTCCTCCATGCCCTTTAGAAAAGCTCCAATGGCACACAGGTACCCTTCGTGGCGAAGAAACAGTGCTTGGATTTCTCCCTGAAAAAAAATTATCAGTCAAATAGAATTCATCATTACACTCCATCCATCTGTGAACTTTCTAAATTTACTTCATAGCCTTTCATTCATGCACCTTCCAATCCACCAATGTCTGTGGTATAATGAATAGGGGCTCTGCCTGAGTACACAGAAGACCAAACTTTGATTCCCATGTGCGGTGAATTCTTAAGGAATACGGCACTCTTTTGCTGGGACGTTGGATTCCTCTCAACACACGTTATCACTGACAGGAAGGGTTGAAACGCACCTCTTAAATTATCTAAATTGGGTTCATGGGGATGTAAAATACCTACAAAACAAAACAAAAAGTTACATCTTTTAATGTTCTTTAAAAATTACTCACATGTCTTTGAATGCATTCTTACATGCATGTTAAAGCAACTTATTTGAGGTGGAACTTGGCTGAACTAGATCAATATTTTTCCAAATACACAGTATATAGTTCTATATAGTACAATATTACGTCATCATATGATATTTATTTAAAGCGCCATTGAACACGCTAAGGTTACTCAAGAAGTGGGATCTCCAAATTCAATGTCCATCCAAATATGACAAAGCCTACAAGGTGGAAAGCCTTGAAAATTCACGTAACAGCTCAATTTTTAAAATGACTCACTGCATTCAAATCTCCACTATAGATCAGTATGATAACAACTGAGCTAACAACACACCTAGAGATAGCACGCTATGTGTGTATCTAAAGTGTTTAGTAATGTCTACATCTAAGAAGGAGAGAACCATACTGACATAGAAAAGGTTATAATTCGCTTCGAGGGATACCGTTTTAAAAAGGGATATATCACAACACAGTAACAAAGGTACAAAACCTAATGAATGCAGCCCCTAAACACCCACTCTTAATTAAGCAGGTTTCAACAAACAATCACAGCACCCCAATTGGTCGCTTTTAAGCACAAGGGGGCTATCCTGAAAAATGCTGTTTTCAGAAAATCGAATGTAAAATTTTTGCCCCTTGTTCAGTTTCTTAAAAAGACAAGGAGAGTTTTCTCTATAACCAAACAAATATACACACCAATGAAACCAAACTTCTCCTATAGGTAAGGCATTGCCCACTTTGGGTGTAGGTCAAGATTTCTGGAAAACCCCGAAATATGGGTTTGCCCTCTTGTCCTTAAAAATCCAATTAAGACAGAACTCAGAGAAAAACAAAAATGTAAACTGAGGGGGAAAAAACTGAAGCTGTCATATTTTTCAACCATCTGAAAACTAATATCTAGAAACTTCTACTTTTTTCCCTGCGTACAATTCCCAAAAGCTCTTGTGACTCAACGATTCAAAAATTCACTGAGTGGTACTTAAAACAGGTTTTATCTTTGTAAGTCATCATTGCGTTGCACGGCCGGTATTTAAAGAAAAGAACTGTGGTTTGAACATCAGTTTCCTGGATCGCTAACAACAACGAACATCAGTTTCCTGGATCGCTAACAACAACGAACATCAGTTTTTCCCTTGCCGTCTTCAAAAGCATCCATTTCTACCAACCTTTGACCAGAAATTGATGGCAAACGTCATGGTATGCATTGTGAACGGGTGGCCGCGTATGAAGAAACCACCAAAATAAATCTTTTTCACCCCGTGCAGCTTGGCCTGAAGGTAGGCAATCTGCCCGATGTCGTTGCTAATGCACAAGAGTAGACTGCGAGCCACGTCTTCTTTCTTGAATTGTTGCACTTGAAAAAAAAACAGAAAGATACAAAACATGCTTATTATGTCTTAGTTTTAGTTTACAAGAGTTTTATGGCACTTGCAACACACATAGGTCATATAAGTGCCGAAGATTAGGGGTGTTACAAGAGAGTAACATACACAAAAAAAGGAGGAGAGATAATGATGATAGATATATATGATAGGAAGGAAGGAGAAAATTACACCAGAGCACCCGCCAACCACACAAATCCTTATTATAAACAGATATAAAAGTTAATAAACAACTGAAGAAAATCTAAATAGGAGCAAAACTAAAAAGAAAACAATTTCTAGGCTTACAATTTAAAAACAAAAATTCTACATCAAAGAGACTCTCTCCATGATTTCCCCACGAAATCCATACAAACATCACAAAGTCGAGTGACTTAGGTGGAAACATTCATAAGGCAAGAGGAAGAGAGCAGATACAAACAGCACAAGAAGAGAACAAAAAAACTATGTTAACACACAAACACTGATGAATGCAAAAACAAAATGAGCACCATGGACAATAACAATTTTGATATAGAGAAAGGAACATCTGTACAAAATTGAGCATGCAGAACTCAGTAGGAAAAATTTTCAAAATTTAAACCCAAACAAGAATAAAGAAGGTGCTAAATTGTGTCCGTCAAAGTACTAGAATCATTCTTTTAATTAAGCATTTTCAAAGGACAAATCTGTAGGAATAATACTGACTCAGCAAAAAGATAAAGTTCAATTCTGGACAGCGAAACTCAACACCGCTCCAGTCTGAGGTGTAGTAAGTTATGCAGGTCCAAGCTAGCAGCCTGTGATTCTAATAGCAGTTTGTATAAATGCTCATCACACCCATGTAAAAACACATGCAACAGCTCTCCACACGGAGGTGTTTGACAAAATGGTCGGAAATGTTCATGTAATCCTGAAAGTCATTGGTGTTGCAGAGAATTCACATGGTATGGATGGGGTTTGAACGTGATGACAGTGTTTTATGGATGTACTGGGCTGACATATAGGTAGGGGAGTTCTTCAACCTCCTCTCGATAATATTGAGCTCGGGAACTCACTTCTATTTGTAAGATGCTACTTTTCTAGTGTCCTTGGTTCAATTTCAACCCTGTTTCTAGCACAAAAAAAGAAGCAGCTTTGCCAAAGTAGAATATCGGATTTGGTATGTCCAATCATCAGTGTATAAGAGGTACTTTTGGTAGTCAGGATTCCTGCCAGACGAAACCCATCACATCGTTTGTAGCAACATAGTAGAACGTGAAATGATGCACCGCCATTTTAATCTTGTAATAAAAAGAAGACAGCTGGCAAGTCCATTCAACACCACAGAGTTTGTCACCTTCACTTAAGGATTTGATGACCATTTCCTTGTTGGGTGTTGCTTTCTGTATTGTTTCTTTGCGCTTTCAATGTTTTAACCAAACTTATGTCTACGTTGCCGCAGTAATCACGTAAACATTGCAATAATATTCACAAGGATGGAGCAAAGCCAAGTTGAGCTCGAAAAAAATTTGCTTCACCAGAGGGATCGCTGCTCTATTTCAGTATTCTTTGACATGTAGAGCCATTACACGTTAGTGAAACTTTGGAAAGGGGCCGCAAGATACAGCTCAATTGAGCCATACAGTAAAGTGATAATGGTTATGATAATTTGCTAAATAACCCCTCAATTCAGAGGATACATCGGCCATACGAACATTCATGTTTGACTGCTCATTCATCACCCAGTTCCTAACACATCATGTTCCAAAGTTCGATGACATAAAGAACAGTCAGCAAACTCTTCTCCGTAAACTGTCAGCTATGTTGTTGAAAATACCTGAATGCGCTTTATTTTCTTAACCTTTGGTCTCTTGATTCAGACGCAGAAAGCACTTCCCTCGATCCCATCATCTTTTTTCAATGAATTACAAATGTCCGCTACGGTGGCCATGTGAGTCTCCATACTGCTTTTTTAAAATCTGTCTCTTTCCTCATAACTGAATTCGTCACAATAGTGTCTATTATTCTGACAAGAGCATCTTTTTCGATCAGTCAGGCTATTCCATCTTTTTGTCATCCCTGCCTTTTGGTCTGATTTCGTCTTCAGTTGTGCTAGCCAATCTTTTTCTCTCAAGAAGGACATCTCCCACCAGGATAATTTTTACCATTTTCTTCTTCCATTCCTCTTCCACCAACCTCCCTGCCGCACTTGTCGATAATCTTGTCACAACAATTCATTCCTTCTACATACATCAGATCAATAAAAATGCATTCTGCCTCCTTCGAACCTTATGTCCATTAATTCCATTCAACGTGATTGCCGCCTACAGCTATAGGAACCTCTGGCAATAGTATAAAAAAAATCTCAAACTCAGGGTAATTCTTAAGAAGATCATTGATAATTTCTGAAAGTGAAATATTCAAAACACCAGGGTGAAGCGGAGCCGATGATGATAGCCATGTGCAATACCATGGCTCCATGATAGAGGTGAATAGTGGATAATTTGCTGGAATGCAGTTGCCATCGTATGCGGTCTTCTCCTATGTCTTTGCCAGACTCAGCTTTACCAGGCATCTTCCCCGAAATAATATATCCTCATACACAGGCCAAAAAGTCAAGAAAGTGGTATTTCAAAAAGACTAGCATTAATTATAGAAGAACAGCATTAACATGGCTGAACTATTCTATAAACCTGACAAAGATTGCCAGTTCATAATTTGGGAGGGTTTTTTTTCATTCGATGATTTGTTCTCGGTCCTTTTTTTACAAATCGTGAGTCATAGATTGAAATTTTTGCATGTAGCCGGTTTGTGCATAACACAGACGATATCAAGTTGTTCAAGCCCTGGGCCTCAAATAGCACAATATTGCAAGCCAGAAAGAGAATAACTTCACCCAGAAGGTACTTAAGGAAAAATACACAACTTTACAAGAAGAATTGTGGAAAAAAATCCAACCTGATGTGTCTCTTGGAGAGCGGGCTGCCTTGCCAAAGCTGCTAGCGATGACATCAGCACCCAGGCCAATAGCCCCGTAGTTCCCACCATAGATGTCTTTGACCAGCATGTCCACAGACTTGTGGTCACCTTGCTCAGCCAGCTCCAGGAGCTCATCAAATTCCTAGTGAGTGTGTGGGGCGGGAGAGTTGGGAGGTTGTGGTTGGTGGGTGGGGGGGTGGAGGGAGGGGGGGGGGGGCAAGAGTTCGGGGATGGGTGGGACAGGAGATAGGGAGAAGGGGGGAAGGGTTGGGAGTCCGTGGGAGTGGGGGAAAGGGGAAAGTTGAGGTTGGAAGGGTTGGGAGGGGGTGGGGGAAGGGAAAGGCAAACAAAATTTGTGATATTTTAAGTAGTTTAGTGAAACATATCGACTTAATGACCATCAATAAATACCTGGAAAATAAAATGTCAGAAAGAGACAACAAAGAAAGAAAGTAAATTCTACAAGTGGCACCCTCTTATTGCCTACAAACACAATAAAGGGAACCATATCAGCGCATTAATTATAATTTAAAGCAGTGAAAGAGAAAGTTAGACAGAGACAATAGATAGAGGACAAAAGTAGAACCTACAAGTGGCATCCTCATAAAGCCACAAACAAGAGTTTGCGAATGAGGAGAGAGAAAAATATTGACACAATAATAGTCATTTAGTAGGTTGGAAAAGTATGAGAGACAGAGAGTAAAATCCCTGAGGTAGAACCGGCCACCCAAAAACATACTTTGCAATACATTAAACCATGACTAATCCTAAATGATTTAAGGTGTCATGAACGTGCTGATGAACTTGCTGGCAAAGCAGCACCCAATGGCCGAATCATACTCGATCCACCAGTGGTGAGAGCCTTCACGACCAAGAGAAGAAAGGCTCCCACACACTCAGCACAATAAAAGAAAAGTGTGAGCAGGGCACAGGGAAAAAAGTTTGCTCAGAGGAGTGATCAGGCGAGTCTCAAACCAGCTCTCCATGGAGACAATTAGCAGGAAGACCCTGGGGTGGACAGTGGAAAGGAGAGATGAGCAGCTATGGACATGTGCCGCCTGATATGATTCTAGCTCTGGATGCAAGTAATCCAAGTAAGGTCTTATCAAAACATCTTTCCTATTAGGGTCCACCAGACCTAAGTTCCTTCACACCAACAGAAATACAGAGATACTTGATGTTTGAAAATATAGACTGTAAAACGCAGAGCGGGAATTTGTGTTATGTAAATTAATGTTAACATAAACTTCTCAAAAAGTGAAATGGAGAGCCTACTAAACCCACTCAATCCCGTGACTGAAATATCTCGGTCAGCTCACGGGCTGTGTTCAATCCCACCACCGATACAACTCGGTTCTATAGTTTTGTTCCGTATACAAATTATTTTGTTTCAGAAAATGGCATCAAGTTTTATATAAAGTCAATTTATTATTTCCCAGGCCCATTCTGCCCAGAGGGTTGTTGGTATTTTGTTTCTGCTGTCATTACACACGGAGAAATCGCGGTTTTCATGAAGGCACTTTCAGCATGTTTGTTCACACAGATCAGCTGGGCATGTCTCACAATCAATTCTCTCTGCCTTTCTGACGCATACATTTTTTTATTCATGAAAAGTAATCAACAGTCTATATTTATTATTATACATGACATACTATGCAAAGATCTGACACTCACAAGGATATTTGAATACCAATGTAGGCTTGCTCTTGCTCATTCGGCCTTGAAAAAAAATAGACCCCCAAAAATGACAAATTTGTACAACACCCCAAAGCAAAACTACTTTAGCTACATACTTCAAGTTTAGTCAATCTATAGATCCATCTTAGGTTGTACTTTGTGCCAAATTTCAAAGCAATTGGATGACATTTCTGGTTACCAGTGGGCCATTACATAAGTGCCAAAAAGACCGGTTCCTGGGTATTATTTCAGGAAAAACTCCCGGGATTGAGTGAGTTAACAAGCAAACCTCTCTCTTTCTTGCACAAAGGAGAAAAAGTTTAAGCCAACCGCCAAAAAAATATATATTACATAATATTTTTAACAGGTTTAAGTATACCAGCCTAACAAAGCTTCCCTCCCAGCTTACATTTGTAAACTTTAACTATAGGCAAACATACTTTATTCAGGCAGGTCACACGACAAATGTATACATGTGTGAGGCATGCTGACAGAATGAGTAACTTCTCGCAACTCAAGAATGGAGAAGTCGGCCGAAAATAAACCCATCAACTCTGTAGACTTAAAACTGAAGATATTTTCCACAAGTTAAATACATCTTTTATCATTTCATGCAATAGATTGTAGAAACTATTTTGGCGCATAATATATCTGTGTCCATGGGGCTGAAATCCAAGAATTAAGTCATCTTGTCAGAACACCTCACATATATATGCAAATTTTCGACCACATACCCTTGCAGATGTGAGCAGTGAACCCATGCCCCAGAAAGTTCCACCCCCCATGGACGTTCCTCCAATCCTCTCAAACTTGCTCTCCGATTCCACCTGGGGACGTAGATGTTAAGAAAACTTTAGATTTGAATAAGAATATTACTATTATTATTATTATTATTATTATTATCATTATTATTATTATTTGAAAGTAAAAATACATATACTATTTTGTGCTGTAAGAGTCACTGATGAGATGAAATGAATGAGGAGAAAATAAATTAACACATCGTCGGCGGAGAATTCTAACCGTCCAACTCTGATTTCGTAAATTTTACAGGAGAGATAAAAAACTGAATTCAAAGGCTCCTATGGGGATTTACTATCTTTAAATGCGCTAGGCTGGAATACATGACTGTACTTTTAAGTATTTAAAACAAAATTGCCGAAATTTTATTATTTTAAGTGCTAAACCAGAATTATACGGATAGACCGCTCAGTTTTGGATTTCTAACCGTCCAAGTGTCGACGAACGAATTGTTCGTTTAGAATTCTCCAACCCG